AACTACAGCTCCTTGGATGACTTAAAATTCTAAGTGCAATTAATGTTTTTCCTTTCCTACATAATTTACAGTCTTTACATTTTTAATATCCAGTACTTTCTCATCTTAGCATCTAATGAAGGATGCTAATAATTTTTTTAAAATTGCTATTAGTAGACCAAAGTCCAGAGTAATAAATGACCTGGGTATGGGAGAGCAGGTTGTAATCTGTACTTTGCTGGAGTGCCAGCAGATGGCAATGAAACAAAGACTTGCTCAAATCCTCCTGGTGACTAATAACCAGTTTTGTGTCAGAGCTCTTGGAAATACAAAATAACAAGGTTTTTATATCTATTTTTTTAGCTGTGTTTTATTATGAGACGTGTTGTAAAACAGTTCCTACCTGCACAAGAACTAATGAGTACTTCTAAATTATGGTACTCATTTCTTAGTTTCAGAGACCCCCAGAATTGACAGTACTGTACATTTTAATGTACTATGAACAGTATAAATGAAGAAATGCAGTTAGTTTTGGGCATGGAAATTGATGACCACCAGCTGCACAGCATTTTAGAAGTCAAGAGGATAAATCACTTTATTTTTGATTAGGCATCAAAGTGCATATCTTTACATGGTACTGAGTGATGTAAGGCAAGTGTAGCTGCCAAATTAATTTCAACTGACTTTGGATATTGATTTAGAATTTTGGGGTTTTTTTTTGATTGGTGTGAATGTCATCAACAGCCACTTCATTTCCCCCACTAATTTGATTTAGCCTACCTAAAAGTTAAAATGTTTGTTTTGTACTATCAGTTGCTCACATCACTCATTCTACTAAGGATGTTCTTCTCTTCAAGGGAGAAGAAACCTGCAGAAACCGTGGAGAGACTCTATGACTGACAGACTCCAAAAATGAAATTATTTATTTAAAAATTCTGAATAATGTGGCTCCTTTTATAGGTCAGTGCCAAGTTATTTAGTATGGAAAAAAAGAATTAGCTTAAGAAACATGCAGTTGTTAAGGCAGATAGATTCCATATTAATATAGTGTTTTCTAAAGGTTGCTGTTAGGTCCTGACACTGAGAAACTAAAATCTGTGATGTGTCTCTGAGTACTCTGATGGGAAATGTAAATGCTGTTAGAAGGGAAAGAATGGAGGGGAGAGGCATTTTGGAAGTAGATTTCAGCAAATGGGATCACAATGGACATAGGTGTCACTAAGACAATAGCTCTGCTATTCTCCTCAGGTTTTGTCACAGGCAAGAGAGGAGGCTGCTGTGTCCCTAGTCACTATTAGAACAAGATTCTTGGAAATTAATTGTGTGAGAATTAATTGCTTATGGCATGACTACCAGAAATCTGGCTCTGCTCTGTGATCATTACTTCATGGAGCAATCCAGAAGAGTGGAATACTTATCACTGCAAAAGAAAAACTGAATCAGCAGGAATTTCTGCTGATCACTGTCAATCTGTAAGAAGCAGCTTTCCTTTTTGAAATATTGGTCCCTCAAACCCTATGTTAATCAAGGTTTTTCAGCAGAGATTCTGAAACTGTTTTGTGCTGTGGGGAATGATTCAAGTGTTCATCCAGAAGTTTCCTGGCAATTAACATGATGTAAGAACTTGCAAGAGTGTTTCAATACTGGGATTGTGGAAACAATTGCATTCTATGGAGTGAATATTTTCCTGCAAAGAAAACTGCTTAGGGTTTTGTATGTGCCAACAAGTTAGTATTTAGCACTGAGGAAGGTGTAACTTGTTGGTGGAAGGGACCTGTCTGTGAGTTTACTCAAGAGTGTTTGTTTTTGGCATAGGATGTGAGATAATTTTCCTTGGTAATTCCTGACAGATCTTTCAGAGAAAGTGATGCAGCTGTAGCTGGATGATGTAGAGGTGGTTGCTCTTTGAGTGCCTCATTGAAGGGTGGAGCTGGTTTTGCAGGCAATTAATGAGCTACTTTTTCTTTTAATAAAGACTTTTTCAATTTTTGAGAATTTTAACGCAACTGCAGGAGGTAGTTTGGATCAGAATTGTGCTTACTTACCAAGAATCTGGAAAGATAGAGAGTGGAATTGTGAACCACTTTTAAAAATACTCCTGGAAATTATTCATTCACATGATCTCTTGCATAATGCAGCAGGAGCATTATGGTAGCATTTGAGCTAAGAGGCCAGAATTGCCAGAGGCTTCAAGGAAGGCCTCAGTGTTTTTGTGGTTTTATGTACCTTGCTGCTTTTTCAGAGAAATACTTGGCTTTATTACAGTCACACAGGGTGAGAGAGCCTCTACAAACCTGTTGAAATAATAGATGTTCAAAACTTAAAAGAACATTTGCAGACATACAGCTCACTAAAAGGTCCTGTGGAATTTAAAAGGGATGTGCAGTGGTTTGGGGAGAAGGCAGTTCTGCAGCAAGTGCCAGAATATGGAGTATGCAGAATGTGTATTTCAGGACTAGTAATTTTTTTTCCCAGGCAGTGAAAGATCCCCAGATCCCTGTTTTTGTGTATTTCAGTACTTCTGATACTCACTTGATAAAACTGCAGTCTTATTCTTGGGCTTCAGAATATATTAATGCATAAAAACTGAATATGGACGTTAAAGTAAATAACTCCAAGTTAATCCATACCTTAGCAGAGGTACAAAAAAGTGCTGGGAAATCTTTTATTCTGAGCAGTTGGTTCAAAAACCCCTTTTCTCAAATTGTAGTGCTACTCTATAGCCACAGATCAGTATCACGTGACATATTTTTTGAATGATCCTGACATTCTTGTATCTGTATTTAATTCCACAGAGACTGCTTCAGTGAGGTCACGTGAATGTTTTAATGAGGGAAGTAACTGAAGTTGAATATTCTTGGATTTGTGTTATTTTTCCCCAAATGTAAATTCATCTCTTTCCATTCCGACTAAATTATTTAAAGTTACCTTATTAAGATGATTTCTTTCTTCCCTTTACACATGAATCATCATTAAATTATTGCTTCATTTAAATCTCCAACGTGATTGCTTTTTACTTCTATGTATTTACATGTTTTAAATGAAATTATTACTTTTTTTCAATTTCATTTAGAAAATCAATTGCTTAAATACAGTTTGAATAAATGAAGTAAAATGGCTCAAGAAAAAAAAGTTAAATACCTGCCTTTTGTTGGATGCAAATTTGTGCAGCTGCTGAGCCTCTGTTACCGCGGCTCTGTTAACACAAGTTTTGGCACCTGCTGATGGAAACAGGCTTTTTGTTGTCCAGGGTAAATCCTCTCCCCAGGTATCCTTAAGCTCTTCTGTGTTGTTACAGCTGCATCTGCTGGCATCCTGCCTGTTTGATTTCCCTGGAGCCTGCTGTGGGCAGGGTCTGGGTAAAATCCTCCATCCACAGCCCTGGCTCCTGTTTGCCTGGAACAGCCTGAGCCGTGCTGTTGTCCCAGGCAGTTCTGATGTGTCACCCCTTCTGTAAGCTGCTGCTGGAGTTAGTTTCTCACCTGCTGAAGAATAGCCACATTAATGATCTCACTTTATGCAGTTTATGTGTTATTTTGATTAGAAGAAACTGGTGTACTTTCCCAGTCGTGAAAATATTCAGCACTGTTCAATATTAATGGCCTAATAAAGAAGCATTTTAGGTCTTCGTTCCATGTGAACCTGAATGTACGTAGTAATAAATTCATAACAGAATCGTGTCCTACTGTTTTTAAACAAGCTCAGTATTTTAGTTTCAAACTTCAGAAAGTATAGCTATGTTTTATGTTTGTAAATGTTACATTTGAGTGGAAAGAAAATTACTTTTTCTCATGGAGAGGCAGCAGTTTAATGTCCAGGTAGAAGCTTAAATATTTGAAGGTACAAAGCCTGTATTTTGCCTTAAGACTGTTTGCTTCCATCCACTTAAAGCCTTACTTAATTATTAGTGCAGTCAGTTAAAAAACTTGAATTACCTCAGTAAACTCTGGATCTTTTCTGTAGTACACATGGAATTAATTGTGCCAGGCTTGTCTTTGTTTTAGCAATAAGAGAACAGAAAGAAAATACATTGAAATACTGTTCTAGTGAACTGCTCTTACCTGATATTAGTATGTGTATTTTGTGCTGAACTAAATTACTGTTGTAATACAAAATGTCAGAAAACATTGGCATGAAAAAAGTTAATACATAATAATTTGCAACAACAGGGGCCATGGGTAGCAATAGGATTTCAGAAACTGAAGTGGGCAACTGTTACTTTAAAGCTAATAAAAGATATTAAATGTAGTTAACTTTTTTAAAAGCTGTGTTAAAATGTCATATGGTTTCCAGAGTCTGAGTTAGCTTTATGAAAACCAGTTTGGAATGCACTCATTACTGGGTACAGGTGTGACAGTCCCACCAGTGATGCTTGAACCTGTCTGTTAAATAGACACTCCAAATTGCCTGTGACTCTGGGGGGACATGTTTGAGACAACACTGACATTTTCATTCAGCTTCTGTATTCTTAGGGGAATCTGGTTTGAATTTATTTTGCAAATTACTTACTCCTTGATTTGTTGTTACATTTCAAAAATAATTCTCATATTCTGCCCTGAGGTGGGACTCCTATAAAATGCTGTGTTTATAAATCATTCCTGTCCAGCGTTTGGATGGTTGAGGGAAATGTTAAAATTCTGTGGCAGCCACTTGTATTGAAGTAGCAGGAAGCTAATGTTGAAGAGAAATTAGCTCATTTTGTTTGTAGTATTTTAACTTTGTAAGCAAAGCCTGTTGGTTACAGCTATTGAGAATATGAATATAGTTTGTCCCTGATATCATATTGTTTCAGCTACTCTAGAATTTACAGGTTTAAAGGAAGCCACTTTTATATTTTCCCTTATGGGTTTATATAAATTCATGTAGTCTTAAAATCAATTCAATATATTTTTACTTTAATTCAGTAAAAAGCTAAGCTATGAAATCTGGTAGGTTCTGGCAGATAACCATGGCTAGTGTTTAGCTGGGGGGTGTCACTTTTAAAGGCAATTGCAGTGAGATGTTTTCCTTTGTCTCTGTAGTTATCAGAGACTGTTACAGACGATTGCTGTACTCGAGGCTCAACGTACTCAAGCAGTTCAAGACCTTGAAAGTTTAGGCAGACACCAGAGAGAAGCACTGAAAGATCCTATTGGATTTGTGGAAAGACTCCAGAAGAAGGTATTTCTATGGACTTTTCCTAAGTCTTCCTTGGAATTTTTTTAATAACTAGTAATTCAGCCTTTGTAGAAATTGAAGAATAGATATATATACTTGAATAAAAATTATGAGCTCAAAATCTTTTAACTGCTGAGAAAAATAGCTCTTTGCTTTCTTACTAGATCTGTATGGCATAGGTCTTCAATGATTTTATCAGATATGCTTCCTTTCCTTTTTTTTTGGTATGTAGAAATGTAATTGTTATATTTCTAGTTGTAGTGTAGGTATTTTAAGACAACTTGAAGTCTACAGGTGACTGGAAGTATCAGATCAAAGAATTCTAATCTTTCTCATTTGAGAAATGAATTGTTGTGCTTTGAATTAATTTGGTAGGGTATGTTTAAAGAGCAGGAAATGTAGTCTATATTCTAAACCCAAAGTGAACACTAGAAAGCATACATGAGTTACAGATAATAGAATAGAACATTGTCTGATAGAGGAGAGTCCATTTCTATAAGGAAACATTTTCTTTTCAAGCTTTAAAAACCCGTGTAGTAACAGGAATACTGAAAAATGTTTTCAGCTTGAATCCTGTATCGCTGCAGCATCTATCACTGGCAAACAAGGTTACCTTGTAGTGTGATAGCAACATGTGTTTCAGTGAAGAATGAAGTTATGGTTCTCTTTTCCTAGGTTTGTAGATACCTGGGTCATATGTAAGCCCCTTGGTTTCAGTAGTTGTCTTTTAAGTTTTGAGATGAGTTAATAGCATGCATGGTGTAAGAGTGTTGCATTTGATAGTCTCATTTTATGGGGAAATAACAATGACAGTTTCAGGTACTCTGGTGTACTTTTGTCCAAAAAGGACCAAAGGAATGATAGTCTTACAGTTGACCTTTAAATAAAGAGGTGAGCTTTGCAACAGTTTTGTTCTAGGCAGAAGTCAGCAAAATGAGTGCAAAATAGGCATAGATTTCTCTGATGGGAGGGGTTGAGATTTCAGATGATAAAACTCTGAATCTTTTGGGTTCCTGGGTTAAGAAAGGTGCACATCCTGAGCTAATGGTCTGTTTAATAAACGACAGTCAGAAACAGGTTATTGAAGTGTCAAACACCTGATTTCAGCTGTGAAATTCACACTTTAAAGTTTCATGCTCAATAAGCCATCATTGACCGTGCCGCTGCATATTTTGTATGCACTGTTGTGTATAATTCTTGAAAGATCTCACCTTCTCTTTAAAAAAAAACTGGGCTGCATGGCACTTCAGAAATTCTGGTTTTCCATTCTTCTGTCAAATAAAAAGCAGCATTGGGATTTGGAGCATTTCAGTATTTGTAGGTTTTGGTTTGGATATAAAGTGATTGCATTAAATATTGCTTTTTACTTTTCATTTCTTATTTTTTCAGGTTGATATGGGTCTTCCATTTCCTCAGAGAGTTGTTCAGCTCCCTGAGATTGCCTGGGACCAATACACCACTAGCCTTGGAAACTTTGAGAGAGAATTCAAAAACCGAAAACGTAACAGTAGGAGAGTGAAGCTGATTTTTGACAAAGGTAAAAGAAAGTGGGCATATGTTACAAGAAGGAAATGACCAGTGTGGAAGTTCAATAATTCTTCCTTCGTGTTGCCTGCAGTAGGTATCCCTGCAAGACCAAAAAGTCCTTTGGATCCCAAGAAGGATGGAGAGTCTGTTTCATACTCTGTCTTGCCTTTAAGTGATGGTCCAGAAGGTTCCACAAACAGTCGTCCACAGGTAGTTGTTCAAAAGGAAAGAAATAAAAAAGACAAAATAGTAATGTTAATTTTTTTTTCCTCTTTTGAGTATGGAATGTGTCTTAACTGTTATTTCAGATGTTCATATTGGTGATGACATGCCATTCCTGTACTCAAATCTTGGAACTAATCTTTGGTTTCGATAAATTTTGTTTTGAAGTCTCATGCTTTGGTTTGGTTTTGGTTTAACTTAAGTAGGAAGAGGGTTCAAATCAATTATACCATTTTGAATTTTTCTAAACATATATTCCATTTTATGTCCTGTATTTGAGCAGATGATAAGAGGGCGACTTTGCGATGAGACCAAACCTGAAACTTTTAACCAGCTGTGGACTGTAGAGGAACAGGTAACAGGAAACTCTTTAATTTTGTAGCTGTGGCAACATACATGAGCATAAAAGCAAATTGTGTGCTAATGTTTATAGCACTTGGGAGATCAGAATCATGTATTTGGATATTTGACAGTTCATAACTGTACTTGGAAAAATGTATTTGTTCCTTTTCACTGTTGATTTAGAAAAAACTGGAGCAATTGCTTTTGAAGTATCCACCAGAGGAGGTAGAGTCCCGACGGTGGCAGAAGATAGCAGATGAACTGGGAAATAGAACAGCAAAGCAGGTAACATGTAAAACACTTCCAGAAGTAAAACCTTATCTTTACTTTTTTTTTTTTTTTTAATACCGGTAAAAGAAAATTCAGTGTATTTTCAGTAATCACTTCATCTTAAGAATGTAGCACCAGGGCCTTCATTTCACCAGTAACAATGGTGATCTCAAATACAGAATGTTAAATGTGCCCCAAAGCCCATGGCAAAGCCAAACCTAATATTAGGTTCATTAGATCTTGACAGCATGAATTTAATTCTATATAGCAAATGTAGTGACACCGACTGTGCTCAGACTGAGTTACACTGTAGTGCCCAATGTCCTGCACCTCAGTACTCTAGAATAGGCAGACATGTAAATATCACAGACAGAAGAAGGACACAGGTGAGGAGACAGCAAGTATTTCTGCATCTGACTTGTTGGAATTTTTCCCCTAAGATGGCAGAATTTCTCCATTTTGACCAGAAGTAAAAAATGCTGATGTTTTCTGTTTACAGTATTTTAATTTCTTTATTTCATTTGTATATTTCAGATAAAATTACAATTAAGTACTTCAGTATACTGGTTTTCCTCATTTGTGATCATATCTATATTTATCCACATCTGAAAAAATAGACATACTTATTTCATATATGGAAACCTACTTTCTGTATGCTAACCATGGATAGTGTATTTGGCATTGCTAAGAAGTTTAGCTGCAGCAGGAAGTAAACTGCTGAAGCTCTTTCTATCACAATTTTTGCAAGATCTTTGTATTTTTAAAGAAAGGTAATTTTTTTCTCTGAAGGCTGTCAGAGCATCTGGAAATAGTATAAATGCAGCACTGCAAGATAGGTACCAGTTAGAGCAGTTGTTGCAAAGTAGAATCCAGAGGATTTCTTTTCCTGTTGTTCTGAATCAATGTAGCAACACTGGCAAAACTTTGAAGACATTTCATTATTTCATTTGACATTGAGTTGTTGCATGTTGGTTTTTTCTAGGTTGCCAGTAGAGTGCAGAAATATTTTATTAAACTGACTAAAGCTGGTATTCCAGTTCCAGGAAGAACACCAAACTTATATTTATATTCCAAAAAGGTGAGACAATATTACAGAATCCTGTTTTTCTGTTTGCATTTATGTGGAAGTTGAGTTGGAATCAGTAATACTTTTAATAGATTAATAAAGTTACTTAATGAGGTAATCCTTTTCTTTTGCCAGTAGCACTATGGAGTGAATTGGATGTTAATTCTGGTTTCACAATGACAGCTCATTGAAGGTGAAGTGTTCAAGTTGCAGCTGAACAGGCAGGGTAGAATAATGGTCTTGGGGTACTTCTTCCTCTTTTTTAAGTTTACTATAACTGATCAGGAAGTGATAATGAAAACCCTGTTGGGAAAAGACAAGAAGCCTTGTAATTTGTACTGAACCATAATCTTCTAATTAATAAAACCATAAAAATTACATATGACTGAGCATGCTGAATTAGCTCAGGCATAGGCTTAAGGCCAAAGTGTCCATTAAAATACAGTGCTTTTCTGATCTTGGAATGGATGAGAAAAAATATGGTCCCAAAAAATCCTAATTTACAAAAGCAAAGACTAAATTTCTGTGCAGATCAGTCACATATTTTGATTTAAATAATCTTCAAGGTGCTCTTGGGTACTAATAAGGTCCACAGATAGTAAAAGAGGACAGTCTCAAGTTTCATGGGCATTTTATTTATTGGGTTTGGGGTCTTTGTTTACTCAGTATTTACAAAACTTCTTCAAAACCTCTTACAGTGGTATTTTGTGGAGTAACATTACTGGTTTGCATCCAGGTATCCACGATGTTTTCTGATAAATAATAAACTTTCCATTGATTCTACAAAAAGGCAAACTTGCAGATTTAGTTCTTTGCAAGGTTAGAAACAAACGTTGCTGTCCATGGGTGGATACAAAGATCTGCCACAGTTGGTGTGTAATGATTTAAACTGTTACACACCCTTAGTTGTCTCCTCATATTCTCTGAAGTTACTGCAAACAGTAAGTGCTTGTATTGGAGCCTTTCCAGTTTGCCATCAATCATGGTAATACCCTTTTACTTTCACCAGGGTTTTAATCTGCTGTTGTGCTCTATAAACAGAGGCAGGGAGGGTGCAGACATGACGTCTGCCACTTTGTCTATTGGAAAAGTGCTTTCCAGTAGAAGAACCAAAAAGCCAGCTGGAAACAGTGATACCTTAAATACTGTGGAGGCTATCTGTCAGAATTCCAAATTACATAAGCAGTTGGGGTTAATTTCTGTAGTATACTAATACTGTGTGGCTGATTTCAACAGGCGTTGAAAATTCAGTTCTGAGTGTTTGAGTTCTTTATGTCACTCTACCATTTACAGTTACCTTGGTCACGCCTTTTGTTCTTTCCTGTTAATTTTGTTTGGAAAGACCATCATTACAGAATGTGTGTAATGTTGTCAGGCAGCAGATCACTGTATTTGATAAACATTGGGAGTACTTAATCAGTCGATGTGGGACATTTTAACTGTATTTTTCACTAATTTGAACAGTGATCACACCGTGGACAAAGCCAGTACAATCAAGAGCAAAACATGTTTTCTCTGAAATTCTTAACAATCTCACATTGCAAGAGTAACAATCCCATCATGCAGATTTTTCTTAGGTTTCTGTCTAGAAGATATCCAATATTTAGGTCAGTTTTAGCAGTGTGATTCACATCCTTATTGCCAGGTCACAAGAGTAAGGTCATTCTGCCCTGGTTTGTATTAAGCAGCATCCCTGTGTTATATTTGTATCCTGTGTAAGAAATAAAACAGATGAAAAAGGGAAATAGTGTATGTGGAGAAATTGAGCTCTCAGCCTGCTGATAGAGCTGTGTGCTTAGAGCACAGACTGACAGCACCATTCCAGCTTAGTTACTCCCAGGTCTCCAGTGGAGGTATAATGTGGCAGAAAGGAAATGCAAGGGCTGTTGGAAGCCTGGGTCATGCCTGTCCTAATTTTGATATTTAGTAACTGTAACTGCAGTGTATCTGCTTTATTGCCAGTAATAGAAGTTTGAAAACTGGATGCTAATACTTAAAGGACATACCTATGGGAAAATAAGAAAAACAGACATCTTTAATGTAAAGATTTGTGCCAAAAGGGATGCTTCACGAGAAAATACTTGCATTTTTTTCCATGGGGATTGTTCAATTTGCTTTTTTAAAATGCGTACTGGAGAGGTTAGAAGCCTGTTCACTTGTTGAACATTTTGTTGAAGTTAACTTTGTATATCTACTCATGTGACATATGTCTCTTCTAACTAATGATACTGGAAATTAAGCAGGATGCATCGGTTAATTTTCCTGTATAACCATTACCTACTACTGGTGAAAATAAAACTGGATCAGAGACTTACCACTCTAGTATTCACTTCTTCAACCATGGCTTATCATTTTCAATTTAATCCTTATATAATATCATTAGTGCACCTGCTTTTAAGCCTAATCTAGAGATATATTTCCCATAGGGAAAATTATCTTTAACTGTCTGCTTTTAAGTAATATTTTAGTTCATTCTTCACCGAAGGAAGAGAATTCAAATCCTGAGCTGAATTTGTAGGTCACAGCACTGTTATGCATGGCAGTGCTGCTGTATAAGCACAGGCAGAGTTTTCCTTTCCTGACTCCAGATCTAGTATTGAATGCAGATCTGCTTTCTGTTAACAGAATACATAAATCACTGTGTCAGCTCAGCCTGAAATGCCATTTATACATGGACGTATTTTACAGAGGTTTGAAATTTTAAGGGAAATCATAAAAGCACCAAAGCACAGGTAGCTGGTGATCATAAGGCAGAAATTGGAAAAGTCCAACACAATAGATATAGTACATTAGTCTTAGAATAAATTGGTTTTTTTGCACTGTAGTAGCTTTTCAGATCAGAGGTACCACCTTCCAGTTGTTACTACAGACTCATCTCTTCCATTAAGACTGAACAGAGCTAATCTCAATTCCTCCTGGTGCTTCTGTCTGCATAGATGCATTCCCTGTCATCTGTGTCATCTGTGCCTTTAGTTTTTAAACTGTGCACACAAGTGTAAAATAATGCTACATTCCTCTTTAGAGGTAAAGGGTTGTACTATAATATTACAGGTTTGTAGCTGATACAGGAACCTTTTGGGATAAAAGCTCTTGCTCAAAAAGGAGAAAGTACTAACTATTGCAAACATTCCTTTTGCTTTAGCTGTATGAGCAGCTAGGCACTGTGTGAAACAATCCTCACTTTTATGATTGTTAGAAAAAACACTTTTCATGTTTACGTTTTTGATTCACACTGTAGGGTTTTTTTAAGTTGAGGAATGTAAGTTTTGACATTAAATGTCAAAATGCTAGTCTGGAAAGCAGCTAAGTAAGGGGTTGAGTCAGTTTCATTCACCCCAAATTCTTCTTTTTGATATCTAATATTCTCCCACTGGGGAATAAGTAATAGGGGCTGAGTGCCTTTAAGTAACCTCCTTTAAAACTGGCATCATTCTACACCTTCAGACAGCATTAAAGTTGAAAGTTTCTAGATGTGCACTAATGGAGTAATTTATTTCATCTGATGTTTTTTATGTTCCTTTTTCATGCAGTGGGAATGAAAACCTTTAGGGGAGCAGTTCTTTCTCACTCTTAGAATCCTCTTTTTATTGCAATGAATTGCTTTATCTTGCCTGCACTGGGACAATAGGTCTAGACTGGGTTTTTTTCTAAGGCACAAGTACAAGAAGTTGATGAGTGTCAAGCATGGACCTTTTGGCTCTTGGACCTGTGCAAAATTACTTCCTTGCTTAGTCTCACACACTGTTGGAAGTTTTTGACTATTTTTGCTCTCTGGTCCTCAGTCTTCAAAATTGTAACAACCTTACTGTCTGTTTTGCTGTCAGTCTCACCTGTTTAGATGGTCAGGGGTTTATGATAAGGGCTCTTTCTTTGCACTGCACTGTTCATTGGATTCTACTTGTTATGGGGGAGAACTGTAGCTGTAGGAGGCCATGGTACAGAGATAGAAATATAAGTAATTGGAAGCATCATAGATCATTTAGTGTGAAAGAACAAATTCCAGGCAAAGTTTTATCAATGAGGATTATTAAATAGTAGCCAAGGAATGTTTTTAAAAATATGCCATTTTTTCACTGTAGTCATCAAGTAGACGGCAACATCCTTTAAATAAACATCTTTTCAAACCTTCAACTTTCATGACATCTCATGAACCTCCAGTTTATATGGATGAAGATGATGACAGATGCAGTTTTCACAGCCATATGGACACTGCAGCAGAAGAGGAAGTATCGGTATGTAATTTAATCAGTCACAGAATGTCTTGCTGTCACTTTGACCTTGTTTAGTGTTTAATAGATAAGGCATCTTCACCATAAAATATCATCAAGGAAGTATTAAATTGTAGTAAGATTCATGAGCCATTTTGAATTACAAATGCATTATTAACGTAACAGCCTCTGACAGCAAAGAATTTAGACCAAATCAGGAAGGAAGTCTGTAAGTCATAAACAGTTTTGTCCTGAAATATCTCGAAGAAGTTCTAGTTGCATATTTTTAGTAAGTGATCTGGTATGAGAGAGGTTTGAAAATCATGTAGATGATATAGTTGGGATTCTGGTTAAAGATGTGTTTTAGAAAGGTTACATAGAGCTCTGGTAAAACTCAAATGCTATTGGCGTCACTGTTTTTTTTTTAATCTTCTACTAGCTGAATTAATTATGAATTTTGTAAAATCCACTTTAAAGTGTGAACTAACAGAGTGAATTGGCAATCAACAAGCATATTTATGCATTCTTAGAGGCAAATTCTAGTCGACATCCTAACCCAGTGAATTGCTGCATCATGGAGTGTACTACTTTCCTAATTTATCCCTTGCAATAATACCACGAGAATTTAGACATATGTTGTTCCCATTTCCATACAGAATCATAGAGGAACTATATCCTACTGCTTGGGAGCTTGGCAGGTTTCACAGCTGGTGTGAATCACTGTGGTTTTCCTGTTTTCTTTAGACTGAAGAACCTGATTAGTTAATTCTGGGGGGGTTTTTTGGGTTTTTTTGGGGTTTTTTTTGTTTTTTTTTTTTTGTTTTTTTGGTGAGCCTAGTGATATCTTGTGTGTGAAAAGCTTGTTGCATAACACAAGTATTGAGGCCACCTACTATCAGTCCATTCATTTTCTTTACTGACTTTTTTACCTGCACTGCATAGTCTTCCTTAAGTATCACATTTACTTATCTATTTCCTAGTCTTAATTCCCACCTGTGCTCATTTTCTGTGTTCTCTCTGTGATGGTCTTCCAGCTCATTCACATCCATTCCTGATAACTTTGCATATTCCAATAAGAATCTTAAGAGGCCTGGAAAGTAAAATGCATATTGGAAGAGATGCAGTGCAGCTGCTTTTGAGCTAACATGCTTTTGTTCTGTATTGGTTTTAAATATATATTTTCTAATTGTTCTGAGCAGTTTCCTGAAACATTTTGGTTTTGCCATGGTGCCCTAACTTATAATTGGTGATAATAGCGGTCATGTGCCACACAGTGAGATTATTTTAATTTGGCATAGTCTTTTCTTCCTTCATTAGAGTAACATTTCCAGATAGATCCAGTTCTGGGTTTCAGTAAGCTAGACACAGGGGAGCTCAGTTACCCAAAAGATCCCCACAATCAGTGAAAAATAGCAGCAGTTTGGAAGCAAAAAGGGATTGTAAACTATATTCAAAATGCATGTACAGGATTCTGTTCTAGTGTTCAAAGTCAGTATCTCTTAGACGGTTGCTATCTTGGAGAAAAAATACTTTGTGTCATTTAGCAGAAGAAAAGCAGTGTAGCAGGAAAAAATGGTTTTCTTTGATTTCATAGTGGAATTACCACATGCTTTTCCTGTGTAAAGACAAAAAGATTTGCCTGATTATTACCAGTCATAACTATTCCTGAAAAATTATATTTTGGTGTAAACAAGTTATTTTCAAGTGAAGACCCACTATTGCTAACAGAGTTCATTTACTCTTCAGTTATGATTTCTTAATTTTTTGAGTAGTCTAGTTATTGTGGAACACAGCTATTTACTATTCCAGAATGAATTGTCCACACAGGGAGCTATTAAAGCATACTTTATTCAGTATACAGTTATTTTGTGACAGGCAGTTTTTCTCAGAAAAACTTTTGAGATTTGTGTGGAAGGTGAATCCCTGTTTTGTATTAAAGAAAATGTAGCTTATCACTACACAACTGAATTGTGTCATTTAACCATAACTTTTCTGAAGTTTGCAGTCTAGTCCTTTATATAGGTTCATAATTGCAATTAAATAATTGATAAGGCCTTTTGGAAATGTAGTAAAGCCTATTTCCCTCACTTCCTTTAATAAACTTACTAAATAATACAGAATCTTCTGTCTTCACAGATTCATAAAAAGAAAGGGAAATTACACATTCAGGCTACACTAGAAGAATTTTAATCTCTATCTTGTAGTTGTAGTTGTTTTCCCTCCCTGAAGGTTCCTGTCAGTGTAGGATGTGAAAACTGCTCTATATCAGTAAAAAATTGTCATCTCTGAAAACAGGTGACATCTACCAACTACAGCTGCTACAATAAAATCATTACCTTGAAGTGAGCATCTGAACTAGAATTAGATCTTCTGTCCTTTCTTAGCAGATCCTTAACCTTTGTTGGAAACTGTGAGAAAAAACAGAATTTGCATGTCTTTGAAAAAGAGAGAACCATTTGTTGTACCTCTCTGGCAAAGATGTCTGCACTGGCCTGCAGGGAGACAAACTGCTTCATAATTTATGAAAAAAAGGCATTCTGTTTTTTGTAGATGTTAAGAGACAGTAAAGGGATAAAGGGAGTTGGATAATTGTGAGTTCTGCTCTTTCAATCATACATGGTGCTTCTCTCTGCATTTTATTCTTGCCAGTAAAGGTGCGAAGTTAATACTGGATATGGGTGTTAGGTTTTAAAAATATTTTTCCAGTATGTTAGAATAATGCCATCATTTTCTTAAACACTGTTAATCATACATAGTGATTTATGGAACAAATTCATGTCTTACTAGTTACTGTATTCCTAAGTAAGAATATTTTTCTGTTTTTTTGTTTTTTTTTTTAACTTGAACAGGATGAAGAGAGTATTCCAGTAACATATCGAGAGTTACCCGAATACAAAGAACTGTTAGAGTTTAAAAAATTGAAGAAACAGAAACTCCAGCAGATGCATGCAGAAAGTGGGTTTGTGCAGCACGTGGGATTTAAGGTCAGTGCCAGAGATGTTCTTCTGTTGCTCAGTGGAATGTAGAAGTTTTCCAAGAGAATGTGGTTTGAATTTCCTGAAAAGATTCCGTTGATTATAGCAAGTCTGGTTCCTTAGTACTTGTTCACTGAGTCTGTTTTCCCTCATTTTCTTTAAGAAAAACAGCCCACGTAATTCACTCTTTGTGGTAGCTCAGCTTTCACTGAATGCTGATGTTATATGGAAATTAATAAACATGCTGTCTTTTTCTCACCACATTAAAATACAGCTTGTATTGGAGCCTTGTTAAATCATGATAGAATTCCATTTGACACTACATTCTGTTTTGACAGTAATTTATTAATGATAATTTTCTGATTATGAATTTGGAGTAATTTTGCCTCCACCTGAGGCCAGAGAAGGGACAGATATTTTGGATAAGAGTAATAGATTAATAATTTTTTAATAAAACAATATTTATGTAAAATTAAGATAAAAACCATGAAGTTAAACTGATGTGTTGTCCGAGCAACAACCATTAATAGACAACATGAAAGAAAAGGCAGTCTGGAAATCTTGTTTTCTGGTTTGCAAGGGATTTTGTGTCTAACTGGTTACTGTAGTTGTTGGAACAGGTTTTCTAATTTAGCGTTACGGAGATGGATTTATTTTTATTTTTATTAGTTCAGGGTTCAGTTCAAATTGACTGTAAAATTAAGACAGCCTCGTCACTTGATACTGACAGATTTAAGTTATGAGACCACCAAGGTGCTTCTTATTTTTGTTGGTTTTAGTTGGCATGGTATTAGTTTGGTATTTCATTTCGTGGGAATTTTTAAAATAATATTATTAAAAATAATAATTTTCTTCCCCCAAAAATTTTAAACTTCAATCAGGCAGACCAGACTTTAACAAACTGCCTTTTTTACATAAAATTGTCCTGAGAAGTAAATCGACATTACACAGTGTCAAGCATTTGAAGTTTGAAAGTTTCTTTGCATTTGAGTTTCATTGTATTATGCATTATAGTAAGCTGAGAAATCAGGTGATTATGGGCTGTTTTCCCTCAGGAAATTCAATCTGTGAGCTGGACAGACCTCACCTAATAAGCAGCCATTGAGAGCAGTTTTGGTTCTGCACAGCCTTTGGCCTCATTTACTACACATTATTCAACCTGTGCTTTGAATATTGAATTATTGAATCCCTTGTGGGCTTTTTATGGTTTTCACTGCTATAATATCCAAGCAATTTGCAAATACTACTTTTCTTCATTAAAAAATGAAAGGCATAGTATTATTTCTGTTTCACAGGTCAGAGGGGAGCTGGAGCACAAAAATTAAGGTCAAGGCTTTCCACTGTCTTGGTTCTCAACTTCAGATAACTGGAGCCAATTTTTCAGTTGTAGCATTATTCTGAACTTGGTATTTTCAAAGAGCAGCTCCTGGTGTGCTTGGTCCCTCCTCACACTCAAAAGCCGTCTGTGGACAGAAGGGGTGCAGCTGTGGCAGGGCTGTGTCGAGGTGTTTGTAACCCTGAGTGCCTCAGTGGGGGCAGGAGCAGCTGCTGTGCCAGTGGGTTCCAGAGATGCTGAGACAGCCAGTCAGGTTCTGGGAGATGGATGGAGGATGAGCTGTGGGAGCACAGCCTTGTTTCACTCTTCGTAGTTTAGGCTTTTGAAAAGCTCTCCTTGCCTCCAAGTCCCATTTTCCTGGTTTCTTGTTTTTGATCAAATACTTTTGCATTTCTGTCCCTCTTCTGTACCACTGTGAATTTTTCATCTAGTCTTTCATGTTTTGTTTTTACTTTGTGGTTTTTTCTCTTCATGCCACACTCTTGCACTTGGGATCAGTTCTTGTCACCTTGCTCAGTTTTAGTTCCAGACCTCTGTTTCCTTCTCTGAACATGTTATTCCCCTTCCTTCCTGGCCATCTGGCTTTTAGTTCCAGCCCACCCATGATGTGTTACTGCATTTCCTGAGCTGGAAAGGGCATCAGTGTGCTCTGTTGTGCCCTGATTCACAGCCCCCAGCAGCCCAACAAGCTCTCCTGGTCTGGTCATACTGCTTCCCTCTGCCATGGAAAGGCTGACATTCCATGTGGCTGGGCTTGTGTGAAACATCCTGTCCTTGTGCTGTGTCACAGCAGTTCTTGGAGCCACCTGAGGATAAGAGGGTCTGCAGGCAGGGCTGGGCTGGTTTTCTTGAGCAGGGTGATGATGCCAAGGTGGAGCATTTGGGGAGTGGGAAGCAAGGCCAAAGCTTGATGGATCCTCAGGGCTCTGGAGGGCCTCTCCTGGAGAATGAGGACTTCTTTATCCACGTGGTGACGAGAATTCAGCTGTGGGGGCTGGCAGTGGCACAGGGACACACAGAGATTCCCTTGGGGTGAATGGGTGTGCACTGCTAGCATGGAAGTGCTGCCTCCAGCTGCTGCTCTCTCAGTGCTCTTCCATCTGCTCCACAGTGTGATAACTGCGGGATTGAACCTATCCAGGGTGTTCGGTGGCACTGCCAGGACTGCCCTCAAGAAATGTCCTTGGATTTCTGTGATTCGTGTTCTGACTGGTGAGCAGCCTCTGCTTCTGCGTGCTATTTGTCATTAGATTGAATCTCTCTGCTGCAGAATTGCTGTGTAGGGTGGAAATCTTTGCTCCAGCACAGGACACATATACCCTGTGTTGCATAAAGTGGAAGATAATTTAGCATGTCTTTGTGGGCATTGGTTAGCAGATTCTGGATGTATAATTTTTTTTATTTTTTTTTTAATACACCAGGCAGATAGGTTTGGTACAGTTAAATGGGGAGGGAATTAGACTTTATGAATGAACTGCTATCCAATTTGGTTTGAATCTGTTAATATGATCACTGTTTCTGAAAGTTAAACATAAGGAAAGTATTTGACTTTTAAACTGTTATCTTTTTCTTTCCCTTGCAGTCTGCATGAAACAGAGATTCATAAGGAAGATCACCAGTTAGAACCTATTTACAGAGCAGAGACATTTTTAGACAGAGACTACTGCATGTCCCAGGGCACCAGTTACAATTATCTTGACCCAAACTACTTTCCAGCAAATAGATGACATGGGAAGCAGATCTACCAACTTGGGTTTACTATCCTCTTTGAAAAATAACAATGGCACCATTGTTAATTCTGTGCACATTTTGGAAAGACTCTGCTTTCCCTGAAATGTCACTCACAGCATGACAGCTTCCTGGGTGTACTTGTCAAACTACAGCTTTGAGCTGTCATGGTTCTAGATCACTGAACAGCAGCTGAACATTCCTAGTGTGCAGAAGGTTTCACTGGGAGACTTTTCTTTCACCACATTAGTCACTTTTAGGTGGTGAATCTAAACAAAAGAAACACATACAAAAGGGTGAGCCAGAAATGAGAGCACACATTAAAGATAGAGTAAATTCCAAAGGCTTTGAAGAACTTGGTTATAATGAGATCCAGAGGAGATGAAGTATTTATATAAAAACAGTTTAGTAGCTTGCAGTTTTGTTGTGAAATAGTTTTCAGCACAGTAACTGACTTCTTTAGGCAAGGTTTTAACCAATGACAGTGTTTGCTTCTAGGCTGTACTCTAAAAATACTCACTGTCTCAGCAATGGTTGGCTAAGGGCCTTTATTAAATTGGAGCTGCTTAATCATGTTGACCTTCAATTTTTTAAATTTTTTTTTTAAACCACAATGAACTCTATTTACCAACAGTGAAGCACTACAGGGGGCAACTGTGGCATTGCTTCCTTAACCAGCTCATGGTGTGTGAATGTTATAAAATTGTCACTCAGATATATTTTTTAAATGTAATGTTATATAAGATGATCATGTGATGTGTACAAAATATGGTGAAAAGTGCCAGTGCTAGTAACTGTGTAAAGTCTCTAATACTCAACATTTACTCCTTTAAAATAAAATACACAGCCTTCTGCCTCTGTATTTGGAGTTGTTAGTGCAACTCATCAAAGAAAACTGCCTAATATAAATCATATATATGGTAATAATTTTTCCTCTTTTGTAGTCTGCACAAGATCCATGAAAGATTGTATTTTTATTACTATTTAAACAGTGATTAAATTTAGCCTGAGCAGTGAGCAAGGGTTCACATGCATTCTTTTATACTGCTGGATTTTGTTGTGCATCATTTAAAACATTTTGTATGTTTCTTCTTATCTGTGTATACAGTATGTTCTTAAATAATGTTCAATTGTCAGGAGAACTGTGAGAAATAAACTATGTGGATGCAGTCTGTTTATATATAGAATGCTTGCTGTGACTTCCTTTCTGTGTAGTTCTGACTCTTTAATCAAGATGGAAAGTTTGGACAGGACCCTTGGATCGGTCACCCGGCGCCGCCTCTGCCGCTCCCGCCCGGGGCTCATCCCGCTCTGGCCCCGGCAGGATTAGCATTCCAGTTCTCTCCTTCCTCACTCACAGACTTCTTTGTCAGACCACAGAAAATCCAGATTTTAGTAGCCTTGGTACAGTGTATACCATTGTCTGAGAAGCTTTGTAATTATTGTGACATATTTTACTTAATATATTTTTTATTGAAATGTATAGCTTGTGATTCAGAAACACTTGATTATTTTATAACTGTAGTAGACTTCCAGTTGCTTTGAAGCTAGAATACTCAGAGCAATTAGCTAGAAAACAAACTAATTTGACTTCAAAAGATGGCAATAGGAAGGATAATTGTCTGGCTGCACCTAGTAACTTTAATTACAAATTGGTCAGTATTTTTGCAGTAACTTTAGGTGTAGCTATTTTTTGCTTCAGAAAAAAAAAAGAATGTAGGCATTTAATCTATTTAGAAAGTAATACAGTACAGTTACTAAAACACTGAGCAAGTATGATATGTAAGCATATCTTATGTATCTCATATACTTAGATAAATTTAATAACCCTTAAAAAAACACAACACAAAACTCACATGATGTATTTTAGTTTTAATTGAAAAAGATACTGCTCTGAGAGGCTAAGACCATAAAAATATGCTTTCCACATCATTCATGGTCTTTATAGGAAGTCACATGATGTATTTTAGTTTTAATTGAAAAAGATACTGCTCTGAGAGGCTTTCTAAGACCATAAAAATATGCTTTGACATCATTCATGGTCTTTATAGGAAACTAGAGTTGGTGAAGGTGTATTATCAGGAAGAGGATCTGTGGTAACATTCATTGTCTGTTTATATCCTGAAAAAATAGTGGGAATAAAATAAGAAAAGTAAATTAGAGAAAATAGTCACCAGTTTAGGATAACTTGGAAAGAACAAAAGATCTTGGTATCCTTGGAACAAGGTTGGAAGCCAAAGGGTAATTACAAGTCTGAATCACTCAAGAGTGTCTTGGATAAGTCCTATTTTATTGAATATGTATAAATATTAATGTTTCCCTATGCATGCATATACAGCTATTGCTCCTGCATACATTATGAACGTATGCAAATAGGTATCTAAGGCACATAACACCAAATCAAGCATGGGATTTTTTTTTTTTGTTTTTTACACAGAAAAGACAGAAGAAGCAGAAATAAAAATTAAAGTGTATGGTGAATAATTTTTGTAATTCAATTTTAAAAACCCCAACAAAATAGCAGCTGTATGTTGCCTTTGTTCCCATCCTGCACAAGTGTGAGACTTCACACTTTATAACTTTTACTGTAATTAAATATCATAGAAAATACTCCAGAAAACCTACCCAGATGAATTTGCAACTTTGTGGTAACTGCAGTGTGTTCTGCTTGTAAAAAGCAGCAGCAGCAGCTGTTGGTGTGTCAGGGCTGGTGTGGCCAGAGCTGCCCTGGGGAGCTGCCGTGGTCCTGCAGGCGCTGCTGCTGCTGCTCAGTGGCATGGCTGGAGCTGGGGAAGCACTTCCAGAGCACCAGAGGTAAAATGTAGGCTATAGAAGGACCCAGGGAAGAAGGAACATCCATGATGTGAAGGATAAGAACATATGTAAAACAGACCCTAAAAAATAATTGAATTAGCATCTACAGGGCAAATGCTAAGGAAGAAAAGGAAACAGAAGAATCTGCCCTGATTGGAAAAATGACATACTCTGTAAGCATGCTGATTTGAGCTATATTTTCAAGTCATGTACTGTGCTTTGAAAAGGATTAAACCCACATATACTGTAACAGAAATCATTACTCCTCATTTTTGTACATGTTTTATTTGTATTATGTCTTCATTACAAGAAAGGTAACTTTAAAAATGCAAATCTGCTACCTAAAGTACACCTTTGACATTACAAGCAATCATGCAACCCACTTTCACTGTAAATTCATCCAGTAGTTCCAGTAAGAGGATGCAGTTACTTTACAGCAATGTCAAACAAGCTTTTATTTAGCTGTCAGTATTACCAAAGAAACTCCACAATATTTTAGTTAACCTAATGGAAATACGATAGCACTTTTACAGACTTTTTTGCAAATTACAGATAAATGGCTTACTAAAGGTGAAGCAATACGAATCAAATAATCCCTGACATTTTCCTGTTTTTTTGGTTTCCCACCCCACCACACCTTCCCAAGTTTTGGCAATGCCAGTACAAGACAACAGATGATGATCTGAATTTTGCATTTAAAATACTTCCAAAGTGAAATTCAAAGATGACATGAGATGTTCTGGCTCATAACCAACTTTATATATGGACTTTAATAGCTATAGCACAAGTGCTGTTAATATGGATCATTGCTGGATTGCACATTTAACTATACAATACAATACATTCTCAGCTCACAAAAGTGGGAAGTCAGTTATAAAATCATAACATTCCCAGCAGAAGACAAGACTGTCTCAAAAGTGGTGTCTGCTTCCCAATAATGGGTTGACAGACTTCCACAACATTCAGCTGTATCTTCAATGAATTTTTCTCCTTGCAACAGTGTTCTGGGGACGTGTGAAAAGGTTATTTTAACTTGCAGCTTGACTAATTCCAGCTCTCTTAGAGCTGCGTGTTACAGAGAACAGGTTTCAGGCACTAAAGCCCAAGAACAAGCTAAGTGACACCACAAAAATTAACACTGTTAATAAAAAGAAAATAATAATCAATGGGAAACTTGAATGCAATAACCCTAATGTCAGTCTGCTGGACAGCGACGGGTGGGTGGAGAGCTCCCTGCTGGCCAGGCACTGCTCTGTTTGCCATGGAATGTGTGTGACCATGAAATACAAAACCAGAGCTGCTGCTCACCTTGCTGCTTTTAGCTCATGAAGAGCAAATGCCCAAGAAAACAAAATGCAGTTCCCAGAGTGGGGTTAGCATACAGACCACTTTCTGTTGAGTGTACTTGCAGAACTAAGATTTCATCTAGAGTAATGCCACGTGCACACATTCCAGGTACCTCCCAAGGGAGCAGCTCTGCTTTGACCAGCAAATCATGGCTGTGGGGTGCATGTGGGCAAGGCTGTGTACACACCTTACACACCATTACTGCATTTCTGGTGAAAAAAATGCTGCCTCTTCCTTTTTCAGAAAAGAGTCAATTGTCTTGCAGATTTCCAGGAAAACATCCTCCTGTGTTCCTTCTGCATCAACCTGTGAAGCACAAAAAAACCAGTTTTGATTAAGTTACAAAGATTTATCTCAGAACCTAAACACTGCAACAAAAAACTGGTCTAATATAAAATGGAAGTTGTCCTGCTTCATGGTAGAAGCATTCTAATGTAGAGGAGCAGCTTAATAAACCAGATTACTCATTTTGTTTCCACAGATTTCTGTAAGAGGTTTCTGCAGGCTGGATTGTCTGTAGCAAAGTACAGCAGTCAAGTGAGGGAGCTTTAAGTACTCATGTTTTAAAGTAAAGTTACACCTTGGATGCAGAGCAGTTGCCAAGGTCTCTGTCCATCACTCCAGCCTGGTGAGGTCCTTCTGAAGGGCTGCACAGCATTCTGGGTTTTGGCCGCTCCACAGTAACTTAGCAAATCAATGTATTCAAGTGCATTTGTATTTGGAAACTTGGTGAACTGGTTCTGGTTTTATGACATCCTTTGACCCTATCTTTTAGAAGGGCACTGCTTTTGTGGTATAAGAACTTAACTTTCATTGAAGCAATTTTTTTCTTGAACACCCCAAAGATTCAGTTTTCTGACCAAGCTATTTTTCATTTCACTGTACTTCACAAAAACAAGATGAATTTACTTTCCTGTGCTGAAGATGAGAGCTGCATTTCAGCACAGAGGAATGGCACTTGCAGCCAGTAATACTTGTCTCTGTTCCCTGGGAAAGCATGAGGCAGAACTGAGCTGTTCTGAGCAAGGAGTTTCATGACCATCCCATGCTGTGTCACCTGAGGAAAGAGAGCTGTCTTCAGCTCTCACAGCAGTGACAGAAGCAGCTTTCACACTGGCTGTGTACTCCATGCAGATGCTTCTGCTGATTAGTCCTTTCCTCAAATGCCTGCTTGAGATATTTGGTCTTTACTCAAAAGTAAGATTCTTCTCTGCTTCTCCATGCTTAGTCTTTCATGCATGCATGACATGAAGTTTGCACAAGATTAAAAGGACCCATGACAGCTTTGTGAAAGGATCTTTTTCTGAACTGCTGCATTTTCATCTCCAAGTTGCTGACTAGAAAGCCAGACAATTGTAGTGTTTGAAGGGGGCATCCTTGCCTATAATACTTTCTGCCATCTCTGGTCTGCAGGAAAATTAAAGGAGTTTCATGTTCAAATAAATGTATTTTTAAATAGGCCAAGAAATTCTGCTCAGATATGATGTTGTCTTGCAGCCAGCTCCTGTACAGCAGTCAATGTACATCTAAGTCCCTTGGTGCTGAGTCTTGTGTGGGAGTCAGCAGCTGCTCCTTGCAGAGCTCCAGCAGGGACTGCAGGCACTCTCCAGAGCTTGGGTTTCACTCTCGGTGGCACCCGCAGATGCTGCGAAGTTCGGTCCCCGTTGCATCCTGTGGGAAGTGCTGGCACATCTCCCCAGCCTATTCCACAGCCAGAGCTCCAGCTCTGGGTACCCAGCCAGGCCAGCCTTCAGGAGCTGTGCCTGCCTGGGCCCTGTCCCCCCGGGCCCACTGCAAGGGTGTGTGACAGCGGGAGCTGAGCTGCCCTGGGCACCCTGGCCGGCTCCCAGGCCTCCTCACTGCCCTTCCTGCTGCTGCTGCTGCTGCTCTCTGTAGAGCTGAGGCAGAGGCAGGCATGTGCTGATGCCTTAGAAAGGGCAGTTCCCCCACAAGGGCTGCACCTCTTTCAGAAGTGGTTGGAAGTGGGGGGTACTTACAAAGGCAAAAAGAGAAAACGGGAGTGATGAACCATTGTGAACCAAATGTCCGTCTTCTCCAGTTAAAACAAGACCAGCAGCTGCCATCTCACCTGCTATAAAACACCCGGTTTGGCCTGTCTCAACTGCCAAGACAACTATTTTCATATGGCTATCCCACAGGAAATATACTGCATGAAGGGTGAAGGTCACAGCCATTTCAAAGCTGTCATCTTAATATGTATTATTATTATCTTTTGACTTCATAAATACTTCTGCACTGTCTACTCTTATCAGCACAGCTGATTGCCACTGGCTTTTTGGTGACCTCTTTAGAACAGGAACTGCTACTCAGGTCTAGATCTAGGGAGCTGTGATGAAGAATTAGTTCTGTAAGCATGGAAACTGCCACCCTTTATGATGGGCTGGAATGCTGACTTCCTAACAGCGGCAATAAAATATGGATGGGCCTGACTAATGACAGCTCCAGTGCTTCCCATGCTGGCCTCCTAAACAACAAAGGCCCAATTCATAAAACTAACTTAACATTGTGGCACAAAACTAACTTAATGTGCCAATAATTCACATCTAGTACTACAGTAATTCAACAACACTCTCAGCGGCTCCAGAGAAAAAACTGTGGACTTCTCTTCCTCAGATTCTAACAAACCTCATAAATTAGGCCTGTTTTCAAGGCTATTTAAGGCTGACTTATCATAAAACAAGATCCACATACAGTTTTCCACAGT